CGCCATATAATAAATAATGTTGAAATTTCAAAATTAATTTGAGGTAATTGGATCGACCTGCAATGTCCGAATCTATGCGTTTTTTTGGATTGTAAAAAGTACTGTCTGCGAGGACGACGAGTAGGTAGCATAGTTTTAAGAATAGATACTTATTTTTCATTTGCCTATTATATCTGTCATATGAGATATATAAAGCAGTCTATGACGCCCGAGGGTATAATGAGAGGGCATAATGGATTGTCATCTGATTTTGCCCTCAAACAGCCTGTCAAATTTATTGATAGAGTTATATTATGTAATTTAAAAAAATGCTACTTGATTCGTATGAAGCACTTTAATGTTGGGCAAACGATAATCATTATATTTGTATATAGTCCAGGCTAAATAGCTCTAAAATAATTTATTTTCAAAAAAAATTAGTTATCGGACGAAACCGGGTTTTCAGGCAGCTGAAATGAATAGAAATTGGGATAAAATAAATAAAACAGCTGAATTTTTCCGCGGGTGAAATCCCGAGGGTTGAAAGGGGTGGAAAGTGGTGTTTTGCAATTTGTGGCAAAACTATTAATTTTCGACGAAAATGTTATAGAGATTAAAAAAATGAGCAACTGTTGTATCTACACTATTTTCACATAACCTCCAATATTCCTAGAAAAACCCGAAAAACTGTTTTTTTCGTTTTTTATTCTTATTCTTGCGAAAAAAATGTCGTAGGGGTTTGAAATTTCGAGGGAACATATCTTGTTTTATGATAAAAAAGAAGATAATTTTTGGGCTCGTAAAGTTGAACCGTTTCCTTGATCTCACGATTTCTGAAAAAAATCACCTCTTTTTCAAGGGGATGAAAAATCTATTTTTTTTTCATCGTACATAGGTGCGCGGGGTATCAAAATTTGCGTAACGACTTACATTTTAAAAATCAAAAATAAAAAATATTTCAATAGAAAAATTTTAAGAAAAGCGGTAAAAACGGGGGGAACAGTTTTAAGATATACCGTTTTCGACAGTAGGTAAATAGGCTTTTTTGCAAATAAATTAACGTATTGGATTCGCGCTAATAAAGAGTTTTTGAAATCTGTTTTCTCTCTCCTTTTTAGTTGCTAAAATATTTTCTTTTGTTCCTAGTGCCCAACTGCTTTAATTAAAACATCTTTATTATTTCTTTTTTCTGCATTTTTACAGCAATAAAAGCAATTCGAAGTAAAATCGAATTCTTTTGCTTCCTGAACAATTTGTTTTTGTTAACTAACTCTGCTTCCTGCCTGTTTTACAGCTGATTGGATTAAGCTGGGTCTGTTGGTCGTTAATTTACAGGAATTGAATAAAATCCATACGAAGTTTATTCCAGGTTTTACATCTCAAATCATTTGCTTTGGCCAGTAAAACTAACGTTCTTATTGCAGATTTTGCAAGTTTATCAGCAGGCTCAACGCAATTGCATCAGCTATAAAACAGGTAGGTTCTTCAGTGAACAAAAGAAATTGTTCAGGAATCAGGAAGGGAGATAATTCGATTTTATTTCGAATTGCTTTTATTGTGGTAAAAATGCAGAAAAAAGAAATAATAAAGATGTTTTAACTAAAACATTTTCTCGAATTTTTGCTATAGGAATAATATTTTTTTATTTTTGTTTAATAAAATATAAGTCTTCCCGAAAATTTCTACCCCGCGCACCTATGTACGATGAAAAAAAATAGATTTTTCGTCCCCTTGAAAAAGAGGTGGTTTTTTTCAGAAACCATGAGATCTTGGAAACGGTTCAACTTTACGGACCCAAAAAATTATCTTCTTTTCTATCATAAAACAAGCTATGTTTCCTCCAAATTTCAAACTCCTACGACTTTTTTTCGCAAAAATATCAATAAAAAACGAAAAAACCGGTTTTTCTGGTTTTTCTACGAAAATTGGAGGTTATGTGAAAATAGTGTAGATATAAAAGTTGCTCATTTTTTTAATCTCTATAACTTTTACATTGAATATTTTCGTCTAAAATTAATAGTTTTACCACAATTTGCAAAACACCACTTTCCACCCCTTTCAACCCCCGTGATTTCACCCGCGGAAAAATTCAGCTGTTTTAATTATTTTTTCCCAATTTCTATTCATTTCACCTGCCTGAAAAACCCGGTTTCGCCCGGTGACTAATTTTTTTTGTAAAAAAATTTTATATAGCCTGGACTAATATTGGAAATGCATTATTTGCAACGATGAAAAATAAAATTTCGTATGCACCTCAGGCGACTTACAATCCCCCGGGCCAGAGGCCCTCGGGCTTCGTCACCCTCCATAATGCCCTTGATGCATAAAATATATTTTTTCTATTTCGGTGTTACAATGAGAATTTTGTGCAACTGTTTTCGTAGGTAATTGCACAAGTGCATCAAAATTACCGATAATTTTTTTGAAAGCATGTTGTCTAAAAACTGCATGAGTTTATTTCCATATTTTGGCGAAAGAGCCCGACACCGAAGGTGGATGGCTCTTTTAACAAAATATGAAAATGACCGAATGCAGTTTTTTACTGACAACATGCTTGAATAAAAAATTATCATATATAATACCATAAGTAGTCGAAGTATTGTCGAATATTTTTGAGGTGCTGTCACGAATGCTAGTTACGCTGATTAATCCCACGAGCGCTTGCGCGAGTGGTATTAAAAAGCGTAACTAGCATGAGTGGAGCAGCAGCTCAAAAATAATCTACAAATACTTCGACTACGAATGGTATTCGGAGGACTATTCAACGAATCAAAAGACAAATTAAGCATAATTACCCACGCGAATGTATTTCCATGACAACAACAAACGTCAAAATAAATTATGGAAGTTGCTTTTCATTTTGCTATTGATTCTATTCGAACTTTTGTGCTCCAAGCTAATTCGTTATGAGTGATTAAATTAAAAGATGTGGTGATTAGTCGGTTGTCGAAATTGATTAACAAACTAAGAAGAATGTTCCGGTTAATACGACAAAATTTCGCGTCATTTCACTGGTGGAAGTTTGACAAATGTCATTGAATAATCGCATTGAATTGTCGCTGAAATACCACACGTGAAATTATCACTTATAATTACACAAGAGGTTTGTATTTTACCGAGTAAATTTGGGTTGTTAAGGTAATGAAAATCTGTTACCTAGCAATTAGACGAGAAAAACTGTCAACTAATAAAAATGCGACACCGAAGGTGGAGCATTTTTAGGTTGACAGTTTTTCGAGTTCAATTGCTAAAAGGAAACAGATTTGAATTGCAGCAACCCAAATTTACTCGGTTTAAATGCAAACCTCGAGTGTAATTCGGCAGGACAATTTAACGAACAAGAAATTCACCAAACTAGTCAATTATTGACAGACGTCAAACTAGTCATATGGAAAAGGATAATGCGATAATTGGTGCGAAAATGAATAAGTGAAAAAACCACTAGTGCATTTGTCGCTGGAAAAGTTGCAGGTAACTTTTGCCGCTGTCAAAGTGACAATTGCACTGCGGCTTATGCGATTTTTTATACATGAGTTGAATTGTCGCTGAAATACCACACGTGCAATTATCACTATAATTCGTTCCCATTGGCGCAGCAATTTGAAATCGAGACATTTCACTGGTTGAAATCTGACAAATGTTAGATGAATTGAATAGGTTTATTTTGATGCACGAGTGTAATTTAGGGGAATATTTCTCGAACAAGCATTACTTGTCAAACTGACGTTACCTACTTATAAATTGTCGGTGTATTGTGAAATTGTCCAAAGGAGTTGCCAGTTGTCATGGATATGGACAGTGCAATTATCGCAGGGCTCTTTCGCTTTCTACAGTGCAATTATCGCTGTAATTGAGCGATAATTGCACACCTCATATGGCATTTATGACATATAAGGGAAATATTCCGCAAAATAGTTATTTGTACAACTAGTTTTGAAAGTGGTACTTTTTTTCATGAATTTGCAGTTTGATTAATGAGGGCGAAGCCCGAGTTAATTAAGCAAATTCATGGAAAAAAGACACTTTCAACACGTGTTGTACACGAAATTTTTTTGCATAGTGTGATCCATAATAACACACAATTGAATAATTTTATTGACATTCGCGATTTACTGTCACCCAAAAATGGATGCTATTGTTCATAGACAAGACTAAACTCCATGGAAACGCATAGTAAAAATCGTGAAAAAAAGTACCACTTTCCATACGATTTTTCGTTAAAAAAAGTCCGATAATTTCATCACTATGTATAAAAAAAATGTTTCAATGAGTTCCATTGTAACATTGTTTTTGGTAACTTTTCATCTCTAAGTTGGCAGTTCGCCAAGACGTCAATGTCAAATCATCAGATGTGAAATCAAATTACGTAAAATTTATGTGTTTTCCTTGATTTTTGGTACACGAAGAACTTAATACATTCCAAATCAGCAGTTTACACATCCACCATAAATAAATTTATCTACGAATAAAAAATTACACATTCACGGAATTTAAAGTTTCCAAATGTCAGTGTTGTGTTTATCTATGCTGCCAACTTAAAATTTGTCAACGCAAATGGTGTTGCCAACTTAAGACATATTAATTCTAAAGTTTCCTGTAGTGTTTCATAATTACTTTTTAATTAAATTAAAGTCCCGAAATAGAAAAAATAGTATGAAAAACACGTGTTACAATGCTTTATTGTAATACTCCTATTGTCGTATTACAATAGGTCGCATTGTAACACGTGTCTTTCAATATACTATTTTTAGTTATCAATGTATGGGTGTCAAGTAGTAGTCAGATGTCAATTTTCTCAAGATTAAACGCTAAAAGAAAAAGAAAATTCCTTAAAAACGCCATACCGATTATTAAGGGATCGAATCTAACAAGTTAGGACTGAAACCACGTTGATTTTAAAACAGAAGCTCAGGGCAGTAACACATTAGTCTAATGCCTTGCTGAACGTCAGTTTAATTAAATGGGATTAAAATTACAGCAATTTCAATGCAGCTCTTTATCACGAAGCAAAAACACAATGCTTAAAGCGAAGTTTCAGAATTTTTTATTACTTTAATTTTGAGTATTTGCCCACACGTACAGTGATAGTACGGTTGCAATTTATCGTTGTAATTCAAAAAATCACACGAGCTGCCGCCGTTTACCACATAATCGCAAAACGCGTTGTCCACAAATGGCCCCACACTTTCAATGTACTCACTCCTGCTTCTCGGCACCTCGTGGTGCGCTTTCGTGAGCATCTCCATGGAGTGCGTACGCGCGTTAACGCACATCTTGCTGTGCTTCGCAACCGCGATAGTTACCGTTTCCGATTCGCAGGTTTCGGTGGTGTTCAACTCATTGGCAGGGTATAGTATTTCGATACTCTTCGGGGTTTCGCAATCGTGCGCAAATATGGTGTAGTAAGTGCTGATGTTGCCTTGGGGGATCTGCCTGTAGTAAAGATTTTCAAAATCCGGTCTTTCTTCCCGCTCAAATTCCTGTGTTTCTTCGCGCTCAAGTTCCGATGTTCGTTTTTGCTCTGGCCTAGCCACCTTTTCACGAGACTTTCGTTTCCGCTTGCCACATTCACAATGATCAACGATTTTTGGCTTCTCGCGAGAGGTCGACTTGTTACTGCGGAAAGAAGCGACGAATTCCTTCCAGTACTTTTTCCGGTCACACTTTTCGTTATTGAGCGCCTCCTTGCTCGAGCGCTTGCGGGAGAACGACGCCATCAGCGAGCTCAAGCGTTCCCTGTGGTGTTTTTTTGCGGCTCGCGACATCGAATCAATCGACGCTTTACTTTTGATTTTGTAGGTGGCCTTGGGTTTGCGCTCCTTAAAAAATTGGCTCGCAACACTTTTGTGAGCTTTCGACGGTTTACTCTCACACGCCTGGTCACGCTTTGCGTTGCTCAGTGACGAGGTAGTGGACACATCACGCCTAGTTAGTCCTAACAAACTGCTCAGACTGGGCATGGAATGATTATTGTTCAAGCGAGGCTCGCTGCTGGTAAATGAGCGCTTTATGTCCACTCCCTCGTTGTCAGTAACGGTCCACATCATCTGACTCGGCTCATCAATCACTGGGATGCTTTCATCGCTTCCACTTCCATTATCTGTAGGTTGAATTTCTGTTTCAGACGGCACAATTTCTACGCATTGCGTTCTTCGAACCACCGGAATAGGTATACGGCTACGATGGGACCGTGGAGACTTCGTCCTAGTATTCTTCTGCTCAAGCTCCTCATTTTGACAAGCGCAGTCCCTCACGATTGTAACTGTAGACTGACCGTAACTAGCAAGTTTCCTTTTGAGAAAGCTGGATTTCTGTTTGAACCAGCCGCGCTGATGCCTGTGACATTCGATTTCGTCATCGCTGTCCAAGTAGCTGAGGTCGCCGTGTTCGCTTTCGGTCGACGCCTCCGTGAAGGTAACACTTCTAGAACGGTCTTTTTCGTAACGGAGGTTGTAGTTAAATACCTCTATGTTATCCAAAAAGTGCCTCACATCCGCGGTGCCCTTTGCGAAACACACTTCCGAACCGAGATACCTTTTGTTGTACACGGTGATGCTGGGTAAGGGTACTCCCTCACTTTTTACTGCCTCATGGGCTGGTGCGCACTCGACGTCGATCGGTGTTTCTTGGCTCTCTTCCGTCTGTGTCACAGCAATTAATGTCAAACTGGTGACCTTGGTGCCAGTCTCCTTATTACAAGGGCAGCTGGTTTGGTTTCCCGTCTCGAGCTTAAGGCATTCCTCCACAATACCCGTGGAGGAAGTCTGTTTGTCATCCACAGGCTCTTTGATGGTGCCCACTTGCTCCTCTCCATGTATAACAACTTCAATCTTACACCTATCCAGAGCTTTCTTCTGCCCGCCCTCTTTTGGTGGTGTCTCCACCTCTTGTACATGTTGAGGTGTCATTTCAATCGCAGTTGCTTGGCTTGCGCTGTCAGTGTCGCTCCGATCCCTTTCTTTCAAAACTGGCAACTTGCTCTTTAATTTGCGTAGCTCTGCTCGTCTCTTCGGGACACCTCGAGGCGCAGCCTCCGTCACCGATCTGCTGTAGACCTTACTCTGCTTCGGAGGCAATGGTCGCTTATTCTCCGTTACACTTTGTGCCTTTATACCTTTTCCCACATTCAATCTCCTATCGTCAGCGTTACTCGTAGCGCTTGTGTCACCTGAGAGTGTTACAAAGCTCTTACTATCTTCAACCTGCCGAGTTTTCTTAAGCGGCCTCGACGCTTTCTTCGGAATCTTGCGTAGAATTGGCAGCCTCGAAGGTAGGGGTTTCTTTGGTGCGATTGGCAGGTGATTGCTGTACAAAGTTTGCACGGGATAGGTTAAGTAGTGCACCTTCTTCTTTGACTTCACTTTCACCGGCTCCTCCGCTTGAATGGATTCCTTGGAGGAATTGCTAACATCCTCGTCCAATTTAGGTGTCAACCTCTGCTTGTAGGTTCTCAGCACCTTACGTGGTGAAAAGTTGACCTTTTTACACTTTTCTCCCTCCAGTGAGTCTTCGGTCATCGGTGGGTCGGAATCGGGGAGCGGCGGATGGTTGTGTTTGGGTGGCGATTTTTTGTATTGGGAAATAATAAAGTGGTTGCAGGTGGGCGAGTTCTCAAAGTCGTTGAAGTGTCTCAGTGCCTTTTTGCTCTTCTCTTCAACAAAAAGTGGTAAGTTTTCCAGTGAATCGCACTCAAAGGCTTTTTGAATCTGGTACGTTACTTTGCTCTTCCACAAAGCGTGCGCAAAAGAGATATCGTCATCAACCGATTTGCGCTTTTTCTCACTTTCAGTCCGAGATTTGGTATACTGATCGACTAGTGCAGTTTCTTCAAGATTAGTGGATTGCAAACGCTCACCGTGCAAGTCCTTCCAAGTTACCAATTTTGGTTGATTGGCACCACTGTCACTTGAATCGGTGATCACAGGGATGGTTTGAGGATCAACCTTCTCACTACTGGACTTGTTTTCCAACGCATCGGTTTTATTAGGTGGCGGGATATCATTAACAACCTCCATTTCGCTGATCAATTCAGTTATAGCCTTCAGTGTGCAGTCCTGGTTGGGCTCATCGTAATCAACAACGCTAACCACATGCTCCCTGAAGGGTTCCCCATTGTGCGTCTCGAATGGTTTCACTTCGTCCTTTTGCACAATCTCCGTACTTTGACCATCTACATGCGCGCTTAATTTTCCTCTCATAAATTCCCCTGAGCACTGTTCGGTAAAGTAACTTGGGCTTACCAACATTTGGCAAAGGTCATTATGACCAAATATTGTCGAACCAAATGCGTGACCAAGTTGATCCTTGCTGTTTCTATTGGAGTGCTTACTAGACGTAACCGAAGCTCTTTCCAAAACGGCAAGGTTCTCTAGGTCGAACATGCTTTTATGCTGCTTCAGTTTTGACGCGGACTTATGAAATTCAACGTGCGATTTCCCTGTCTTGGGCGTCCCCTTCTGCGAGGTCGACGGTTGGTCTGCAAATTAGTACCTTTCTAACTTTCCCACCTCATTCCCATACTCACCAGAGGGTATTTCTACAGATGCCTGCGTTTGTGCAGATTTTAAGCTGCTTTTCGACGTGGTACTAAAACTCTTCGCCGGCTTCTTCTTAATTATAATCGATTTTGTTTGTTTTGTTGAAACTTCAATGTCGGATTTCTTATCCCGTCTGGGGCGCACTTTTGTCATTACAAACTTTTCTTTAGCGCACCTCTGTCTTAGCTTCTGCTTAAATTTTTCACTACACTTTAAAATACTCGATTTTCTCGACACAACCGTAATGGGTTTATTACAGGAACATTTGCATTTGGCGCTCTTGCAGTGAGATGAGGTGGGTGTTCCGTCCACATCGCTCTTATCCGCCAAATTTGTCACCCCCATAAAGGCGATGTAATTCGACCATGGTATTCCAATACTTTTCTTCTTCAGCTCATTGTTAATAATCGAGTTCATCACTCGTTCCTTATCAATTTTCTTGCCACTTTTCTTCACTACAACAGCCTCGCTCTTTTTGCTAGTTTGTTTGACACTGTCCTGGCTTCCGTTACTCTTCGTGGTGGAGCCTCCCTTAAATGTGTTATCAGCCGTGTAATAATCATTGTTACCTTTCTTTCTGTTAAGAAACGACTTGACAGCTCCAGCATTATAATATGTGGACGTATCTTTTGAGCCTGAAAAAATTTTCATATTACAAACGAGAAATTTGATGACGTTGACACTGACAACACTAGAGTGCTATATTTACTACGTCTTGAAACGTACGAAGCTCAAAAATGATTACTTCATTTGGATCTACAAAGGTAAGCGGATTATAAATGGATGAGGAATCCGAATTTCATTTGAATTCAACAAGTAGATTACGTTACGAAAGGGAATTGCTTCATTTACGTCAGTCCAGCATATCGCGAATGGCAACAAGGGTGCTATGAATAAATTTGTACCGAATTCTAAGAGCAAATTTACAAACGAAAAAACTGCTAATGGTACTAAGTCATTGCAATAAATCTGCCCAAAGCTTCATTACGATAGCAATTAGAACATAGTGCACAGTTTGATATATGTGTAAGTAACAGTTACATCTAATAAAGCCAAATGAGGATCGAAATCTATGTTCCTTGCCACAGTTTATTTCGGATTGCATTCCTATTTAGCATGGGGGAGATTTAACAGGCAAGAGCGTAATCACAAGTTGGAAATGCACAGGGAAAGTATTATTTTCAATTTAAATTTTCGATTGAAAATCGCCCATAACCTTCTACATAATTGAAATCCAGAAATTTGATTTAACAGGCAAGCAAAAATTGTTCAGGAAGAGCGCCCCCAGCAACGCATTAAAAGATGCTTTGGCGTATTTGAAAAGGAATCCCCAACTTCCATAATAACTTCCTTTGACGGCACCGACGTACGTCGAAGGGAATAGATTCCATTGTTTGCAACTTATTTCTGCGTCGTCCTTTGGTCACGTTACTTTTTAGAAGACTTCCTGATTGCATGAACACTTATGGATTGCTTACAAATCATCCTTAGGTCGCAAATCTCTTTGCAAGACTTCCTGTAACCAGACGTTGAGGATAAAGTCTTTTTAAAGTTGTTTTCGTACTTCTCGCATTGAATGCATCTTTTTCTTTGTTGGAATTTCCTTTCAAAAGACTTCGTAGGGCCAGAAGGGGAACCTAAAGTGCTTCTAATTCCAGGTTGGCACTCAATTTGAGGATACTTGAATAAACCTTCTCATTTAGAAGCCACTTATCCATTGTCTCTAAATTGTTTCTTGGTTTGTATTTCCTTTTAGAAGATTTCATGAGGCCAGAAGTTCAATCTAAGACCATTTTGACACCCAATTTGATAGTAGTCCCAATAAGTTGCTTGCCTTGTTGGTGTTCTACAGTTGGTAATAGCTTTTTCTATTGCTTCAACGCTATCGAAGGCTTTTTCATAATCAATAAATTCTAAATGCATGTATAGGTGATATTCATTAGCTTTCTCTATTAAGTGTCCTAATCGTTAAGAGGTGATCGGTGGTGCTGTATCCTTTTCGGAATCCTGCTTGTTCCATTGGTTGATACGAATCCATTTTATAAGTTAGCCTGTTGTTAATAATTCTCATGAATAGTTTATAGGTTTGCGACAGCAGTGACATGGGCCTATAATTCTTTAAGTCCTTTTTAAATAACAGGATTGTATGACTTTCATTCCATTCTATGGGTATCTCTCCTTTATGTAGGCATTTATTTGAGAGATTGCCGGCCCGTGTGGCGCAGTTCAGTTAACGCTGGACTGTGGTGCTAAGGGGTCCGTTGGGTTGGTGGAGCAGCCTTGGCTGAAACCCCGCCCACTCAAAAATAAAGGCAAAAATAAAATAAAATAGATTTCTTAATGTTTCCATGACTTCTTCTTTTCCCTCTTTTAACATTTCGGCGAGGATTCCATCTGGTCCCGGTGCTTTGTTATTCTTTAGCTGTGATAGTGCGACTTCAATTTCGTAATTCTCTATTTTTGGTAGTATTTCCGTAATTTTTTTCTTAATATATTCTTCTGTGTTAACGTCGGCATTAGTTCCTACTAGGGAATGCAATACCGGGATCGCGAGATCCTGAAATCCCGGGATCCCGCAGCATTTTTGCGGGATTCATCCCGCACATAAATGGATTCCGCGGGATTTGCGGGACTGAGGAATTTGTCGACCAAGGGGACGACTCTGTTTACTTTGTTAATGAAACGCATAACGGAAAAATTATTTTTAAAATAATAAACTTTTTTCGTTAAAAATGTACTATGATTTTTGAGGCACTTTAGAAGTTCACTTTTTTTGTGCCTTACAGGTGAGGTTTTTTTGAGCTCTAAGTTAGGCTGAAGGTACTTTTTTTGTTAAATATTGTGATAATTAGCGATTTACTTTAATACAGAAGTTTACCGCACAGAATTACTTGTTTGCCATATTTATATACAGTTTTGCGGGATCCCGCAAATACCGGGATCCCGCGGGATTAACATCTAACAATCCCGTAAATACCGGGATTGAGATTTTGATGCGGGATTGCATTCCCTAGTTCCTACTTCTTCTGATATCTTAGTTGTATTTTTTATTTCCTTACCTGCTTCACTATTTATTGAAAAAAATAGTGGTTTCTCTAAATTTGCGCGTAAGCATTTTAGACCCCTATTCCTCTCGATTACCTTTTCGATTTCACTTCCATTATATTTTCTTAGGTATTCTCTTGTTTTCCTCATAATCATTGTTCAGCTCTACGTATTCTACTGTGTTTCTTTTGTCTTTGTTGTTAATTCTCGTCTATTTTCCATTAATTCAATTGTCTCATTAGGTACTTAGTTTATAGTTTTTTGGCACTTTCCATTCCCGCTTTCAATAGCTTTTCTTTCATTTCGTTATTGATTTTATTAATGCCTCTCTCTTCTGCTACCGATTGTTGTTTAAGGTTTCTTCTCAAGATCTGTCTATATTCTTCTGCGTGTTGTCTTATTTTATTATGGTCGATTACCGTTGGTCTCTTTCTTGTTTTGTTCATCTCTAGTTTATCTATTTCTATTTTGGCTCTTAGTGTACGATCGCTGCCAGTGGAGAATGTATTAAGCGTGGTTTAAGTCTTTAAAGATTTGTTTGTTCTAACAGAGGAAGTAATCTATTTCATTTTTTGTCTTCCCATAAGGGGAGACCCTCCATGTCCATTTTGGGTTGTGTTTTTTATTAAAGTACCTCTATAGTATTTCTCGTACCAAATCCGTACTCTCCTATTTTGTTTTCAGTGTCTTCCATTTTCTTACCGATGTTTGCATTGAAATCTCCCATAATTATTGTTGGTTTTATATTTTCATCTTCTAGTGCTGTGGTGATGTACTCGTAGAAATTTTCGATTTCTTCCTCATCGCGTGTTATTGTCGGGGCATATACTTGTATCAATTTTATTTTTGTATTTCTGTTAGCTTACAATATTATATATCCTACTCTATCTGATATATTCTTATATTTGATTACCTTTTGTTTCATTTCCTTTTTGATTAAGAATCCGATTCCTCCGTATTTTTCTTCCTCCTTTCCTTTGTAATATGGGCGATTTCCTGAATGTAGGTCTATACACATTTCTCCTCTTCTTTTAACCTCTGATATCCCTAAAATGTCCCATTTGATTTTACTTAGTTCCTCTTCGAGTTCGTTTATTTTTTCATTTTGATCCATGGATCTGATGTATGTAGCTATGTGTATTCTGTTGTTGATGTGTTTCTTCTGGTTTTCTTTTCTCTGATTTTTCCCTGTCTTTGTCGAGCTTTTGCGTCCCCCAGAACCCTTGAGTATGATCGGTCGTCCGTTGTGGGATTCCGGATTTAACGTACCCACCTGGGGTACAGTTCCTTTATTTAAGTTCGGCATTCCTAGGAGTAATTTTGGCCATAAAACACCACGATGGTCAGACGGGTTGGCGAGTTGTGGATTTCAGCCCCCCAATTTGGGTCAGACGCTGTGTGCAGCCGCCAACTCTGGGACAGTCGCCGCTGCTAGTTTTGGTCCGCCCCGAGTATATTATTTCTCCGATACCACCAGGAGGCTTTCCCCTATCCGCCACCTGGGGAAGCGCCCTTGGAGGACTAGCAACCCCGCACGGGGAATATTCCTTAGACCAGTGTATTGCAAAATACCTGAAGATGTCCCGAGGAATTTCTGTTGAGTTTAAGCTCCGTTTGGTCGCCTAAGGAAAATATACCTGCAGCGTCCGCATGTGGGAAAGACGTGTTTTCTGAAGGACCAGAGAAAATTGCTCTATTACATCCTTACTAAAGATCAGTTCAGTTACCTTCTCTGTTGAAGAGACAGACATGTCTTTCCAAATGGGATGCCTAAAATTAGCTAGACAACCAAAAAGGATTCTTATGAAACGTTTCAATATGCAACTTTAACATACTATATAAATCGAAAAATTTGCTGCGTGGATACCACCTGCACACTCGCCATGTGCGATTCGGCCCTTTTATGTCTAAGAATATGTGTACCAACTTTAGTTCCAATCGGTTCAGCAGTTTAGCCGGAAATGAGAGAACAAACGGGCCGACAGACCGACAGACTAACTGATACACCGACATCATCGATATTTTGTTTGATTCGGATTCCTGGTGCTTCAAAAGTATATTTCCGTCAAAAAACGTGGGGGGTCATTTTTTGCCGCAATGCAATACCTCCCTTACTAACCTGCGGGTGGTAAAAAAGGGATGACATTTACCGCGTGCACTAATGTATTTGGTAGTTAAATGAATATGCATTAGGAAACAGATACGTATTCATAGATAAAGCGAAACGAGGTAATAGAGAAGACTATAAACCGTAGTCATTAAATTAGTTCCCCGAAGTTGCGATACCTTTTCATAAAATTCCAGAACTTAAACAACCTAAATAAAGTTTCCCTCGTGCGAATCTCATTGGGACCATAAAAACATGCAAGAAAGGAATCGATTCGTCCAGAAAACGTTTAAGTTGCCATTTATAGCCACGCAGACCCCTGTGGTTAAATATAAAGTCAAGGCTTTACTTATATTTTAACACAAAATTGAAATTTATTTATTAAAAGTAAGGAATCGTGAATTATACCTACTACCTACTTGAAATCGCGTTAGAGATTCCCTTTAGGAATTTTCTTATTATAATCTACTTCAAAGCCTCCTTCATGTGGGTTTAGCGGTTACGTTTATTTCAAATTTTTTTTTTGCAC